GAGAGAGAGAGAGAGAGAGAGAGGGAGGGAGAGAAATCACACAAACACTTGATCATGACCGGAAGAACACATGGCTCCAACTAATGCACGTCGATGACAGCAAGAGCAGCATCAGCAGCATCAGCAGTAGCAGGAGAAAATATTGCGTTTTCGTACTATCAACAGATGTAGAAGCGAGAGCGGTTCACACCTACACACCTGATTCTTGACGAGCGCGAGAGCTCGCGACAGCAGCTGGACGTACTTGTCGACGTACTGCGGGCCCTCGAGGAACTCAGGGTGCCGCCGGAGGTAGGCCATGGCGGAGGCCGCGCGAGCAAGGGCCTGCGCGTACAAGCAAGGCATGAAGAAAGAGAGAAGGGGAGGGCGGGGGAGGGAGGGGGAAACAGAGACAGAGACAGGAAGTGATGGTGTGTGAGTGACGGAGAGAGACGGTGGAAGATTGGGGGGGTTACTGTAGAGAGAGAGGGGGGGGGGTGGTCTGGTTGACCAACACGATCGGCAAAAAGAAAGCGGTCGAGCGGTGGCCGTCTAGTATAGCGGTGCTCGGAGAGCTCAAGGACGAAAAAGACGGCTTGCTCTACTGGCCGGACCTCTTTGCAGTCGACGAAGCGGAAAGATGGCGTTGACCACCATTTCGGGCCGGCAGGTCCTCGCTTGCCCTTGGAAAAACCAGTAGGCCACCGAAACATACCAGCAAGCACACCAGCTAAACCTAAGCTCGCCATATCCCTTTCTAAGCCCTGATGAATTCAACAGCCTTTTGAATGAATGCACGCCTTCGCTGCCTCGATACCCCTCCCCCCCCTCCGTTCAAAACAAAACGGAATAGAGACCCCCCGACCACCAGCAGCTGGGAAAAAAAGAAGAAAAGTAAAGGGAGATGTTTGAGGCATGGGATAGCCAGGATAAGGCGGTAGGTGTACTGGGGCATAGGAAGTGGGTTGAAAAGGCGGGAAGTGAAATCAGTAGGATAGATAGACTTGGGAAGACATTTTCGAGCCACCTTTGGCACAGTAGGAAGGAACGACTGGCTATCGGTGATCGGTCCTGTGGGAACAAAGCTCCGTCCTCTCGAGGACGCGTGGTCAATGGTCTAACCGCTAAGGCATGCAAAACATGACAGTACGCCCGTCCTACAGCAGCAGGTCCCGCTTACAGCAGCACACATACAAAAGTTAAACGCACACACGTACCTCCGCAAACTCGTCGCTCCCGGGGTGCAGCAGAACTCGACCCCCTCCCGGTCCTCCCCCCCCTCCTCCGGACGAAGCTCTTCTCACCAAACCAGTCCCCCCTCCCCACCTCGCCCCATCGCCCCCCGCCCCGACCCCGACCGAAGTCCTTCTCGGTGCCCCGCCCTCGCCCCCGGCGCCGCTGGCCGAAGATTGGGAGGCGAACGGCAGTCCAAGCGCGGGGCCTAGCTCCTGAAGAGCCCTGAACCGCTGGAGGGGAGCGGAGAGGGCCTTGACCTGTGCCTCGAGGGTGTGCTGCTCCGACAGGAGGCTCTCGCACGTGGCGTGGAGCGCCTGGGTCTTTGATGTAACCTGTTTGTCGGTAGGAGGGGGGGGCTTACTCTTATGTGTTGCATGCCTTAGCGGTTGGACCATTGACCACGCGTCCTCGAGAGGACGGCGCATTGTGCCCATAGGACCGATCACCGATGCCCAATCGTTCCTTCCTACTCTGCCAAAGGTGGCTCAGAAATGTCTTCCCTAGCCTATCTATCCTGCCGATTTCACTTCCCGCCTTTTCAACCCACTCCCTATAGCTCAATTCAGCTATGTAACGTGTTATGCTGGCTATCCCATGCCTCATACATCTACCTTTTCTTTTCTTCTTGCCCCAGCTCAAGTCATGTACAATTCCCTCTCCTGCTTGTACAGCCGACATTTCGCGACTACATGAACACGGTCTTCGCACTCGGAGCCACAATCACATTTGAACTTGGCGTCTTCATCGACTAACTTCCTATATATTCGATTGCGTTCTCGAAGGTTAATGTCCCCGGTCCTGAATTTGACCTTCAGCTTTGTCCCTGCGTCCGTTGGTCCATGTAGGTACTCCTTGAACCCTACTCCTTCTTTCAACATTTTGTGCACTTCCATGCCCTCCTTGTTCTGGGTTCCTTTTCTTACATGCTGTCCTTCTCTCTCGGCAAAAGCAACAGATATCTTCTCCCAAGGAACCCTTTCAGACCCTCCGTATCCAGCGTATCGCCTTCGTCGATCTCGAACCCCTTCCATAGGCCACTTACAACCTTCACCCACTCCACCCGCTCCGCGGGTTGTCTACCCCTCTTATTGTTTTCCCACTCGGCCTCCCAAGCTATTTTCGGTAATCTCTCGTTTCCCATACGTAGGGGGGAGGGAGGAGTTGCTCGTGTTTTTCATGCTTTCGGTTGGTAGACCGTTGACCACGCGTCCTCGAGAGGACGAAGCATTGTTCCCACAGGACCGACCGATCACGGATGGTCAATCGTTCCCTCCTTACTTCTTTGCCAAAAGTGGCTCAAAGATGTTTTTCCCTGTCCTATCTATCCTATCTACATTTCTTGGCGGCGGGGGGGAGTTGACGCCGAGCGGTGAGAACAAGGAGAGAGCTCGAGGTCAACGGGGTGAAGTGGGGGCTTGGGGTGAAGAGGGCACCGTTTCTTCAGTGTCAAGTGTTGAAGTACTGCAGGATGTGTTACGCTCTGCAGGAAGACGACTGTGCACGCTACTACTGGGCCGTTTCGTGCACTCTTCAGAATAGCGTCTTCATTTGGTGTGGTATTTATATCCTAGCTCGTGTAGACGATGGAGGAAGGGAGGGGGGGGGGAAGTGTCACCACATGGTTTGTCTCTGTCACTGTGGTGGGGGGTCGGCATCTTGAGTGTAGGGGTAGCATGTACTGGTTTCGTGCACACCTCACCAGGATAAACGCGGTCAGGTAGTATACACTACCGCAGGGCAAGGCGATGCTTGTACAATAACGTACCGACATCAGCACACAAACGAACGCAAACGTATCAGCAGGTGTATGGAGTCACTCGTACGAATCCTTTGAGTGGGAGAGCCATTCGCAACAACGGCATGACTGAGAAGAAACCCGTCCCTACGATGTTCCCGTGGGTTTGTTCTGGGAAGCGTGAACTGTCCGCTTGCACGAGGTAATAACCAGCAGTCGGCACTATCACAACGACACGCGTTGCACCATTCAACACGACACGAACCAATTCACCACATCCCGCACACCCACGCACACAAACTACCTGCTCTTGCTGCTGTGCAATGGTGTCCAGCAGGTGCACCGCCCGCTCGATGTCTGCCACGAAAGCCTGGCACGTTCGGGCGTATTCCCTGAGCTCGGCACCCCGCCTGCGAGCACTCTCTCCCAGCTCGTCACCCCCACCGACGCCACCGCCACCGCCACTGGCAGCAGCAGTGCCACTGCCACCCCTCTCGCCGTAATAAGAGTCCTTGTAAAGGGCCGCTATGCCCGAAGGCTTTGCGGAGTCTCCCAGAGTAGGGATCGTCGCCGGCGGCCGCTCCTGCTGCTGCTGCTGATTGCGCCGCACAACTGCCTCGGCTTCTTCCCCGCCGCAAGCCGTCTTCAGGCGCGAAAGCCGCGCCAGCTGCGCCTCCGACGTCGGCGCGTACTGCTCCCAAGACATTGCTACGTGCCCGCTACCCCCTCCCTGTGTTCCGCACACGAAAGCAAAGAGAGAAAACTGGTGAGTGCACCCACGTTTGGCCCTGCCAGGAGAGTGCGGCGGAACCCTCACCTGCCTGCATCCCTCACCACCCCAATCCTGTTTGTGGAGACCCTTCCGGTCTGTCGGCATTTTTTTTTTTTTCGCTCGCGGGCCGAACGTGGTGTGTGCGCGCATGGCTCCGTGCACGGGGCCAGAAAGAACGGGCGGGGTGTGTCGCCGAACAGCTGTTCGCGGCGACGAAAGGTTTGTAGCGAGGTGAGCGAGAAGATTCTCCCCACAGGGAGCCCTCTTTTTTTTTCCTCCTGTCTGTTGGCCGAACAAAATTGAGAGACGCGCCCTCGAGTTTTTTTGTTTTCGTTGTCATGTTGACTGCTGCTGTCCCTCTCCTTTCCCTTTTAGAATCAACACACACCTCGTATATTCGCTCTCTTTTTCTACATCGTATGGCATCGTGCGGTGCCTAGCATCCAGACGTGGTTGAGGGACGACCCCCACGACGTGTTTTTTTTTACGACGCACGCGGGTGTCGCCGAGAGCGTGACTGACGCACACGCCCCGGCGCGCTCTCGCCCCCGGTTTCCAATTTTGATTCGTTCTCGCGCACACACCTCGCAAACAACCTTGAGTTTATTGTCGCGCGCTATATGGCGACGTTGTTTCCTGCTAGACTCTTAGTCTGTGACCCGCTCGATCCAACTGACTGAACAACAACTACGGTTTGTATTGTGGGTACATAGTTTGTCAATCGCCAGAGTCGACATTGAGGCTTTTCTTCCAACGCTTCGTTCTCTCCGTACTGCTGTACTATCAATATCAAGCCCCCTCGAGGGTCTTGAACCTGCCGCTGAGATCGAGTCACGCGGCGGTCGCGCCACCGACAAGAAAGCACGTAAAAACTCAATCACGTCTCTTCCTCTTTCCATAGTTTTTTCTTCGTCGAGTGTGGTGCATCATCTACGTCTGATCTCTGCACGGCGGCACACCACACTACTCCTTCGTTGAACGTCACAGGAGGTGGTGTACTGCTGTAATTCATCAGCTCGTGTATATATATATATCCTTGAACAGGGAGGACACAGATTTCCACACCACACAGCAGCAGCAGCAGACCAGCACGTATTTCTGCGTCGTGGGCGCTCGGGGGTTGCGTGCTCGTTGTATGTTAGTCTACGCCGTCAGCAGCAAATATTCCGAGGGAGGTACATACAACAACGACCAACTTGAATGTAATTGATTGATTGGTGGGCGGAGCCGCTAACTACGGCAGCAACCTTTCACGTATTTGTCACTCATAGCTTCGCGGCTCCGCAGACCAAAGGCTGAGGGTGTGTTTTAGTCGCCGGGGCTGCTGTACGCCGTTCCTGCTGGATTTGATCGTTCTCCCAGCACTCTTTTTCATGTGTAGCAGCCGCAGTAGGGGCATCATCCCCGATACCGCCAGGTATTGCATACATGAAAGGTAGTTCTCTACATACGCGGAATGTACGCATGTGTGTCGTCACCCTCGTCACGAAAGTCGTGTATTGTAGCCAGAATGACTCTTTGTACTGTTGTTATACTGACCGTACAGTATGCATAGGATGTAGAGTGACTGCTGGCGTTCTTCATACACGCCTATGCGACTCTAGGATTTCTGTATGCTACGCGTTTTAGAATTCGTATGCTACAGCATGCGCAGACTACGCATGGTGGGATATTTATAAGCACAGCGTCGTTCTGTCTAATACAAGTATTGTCCACGAGCGCTACGACGTCACAAGCATGTCGTGGTTTTCACAGCAGAACGCAGTTACAGCAGTAACGACGATACGTTTGATCGTGGCACGCGGTCTACGTACACCGTTTCTTGAGTCTCTTAGCCCCGAGTTGTACCCCAGCGGTTTTCCCCTGTCTGCAGTATGATCCAAAACACGGAGAGTCTGTCTACAGGCGGATGGATGCACGCCCAAAATAATATTACGCATATGATGTGATACTTGTACCCTTCTTGAACACAACAACATTAGTCACCCTTCTCTTTTACAAGAGCTGCACAGGCTACAAAGTATGTAGGAATACTCGATGAGAATTTGCTCCGGCGAGATGTAGTCTGCTGGTACAGGACGGAGGCGACGTGAGTGACGTGAATACACCCAGGAGGTTAAGGTTGAGTTCCTCCCGAAAAAGGCGTTTGTTTTCCCGTGGTCCCGTCGTGCATGGGGTCCGGGTGAGATCGCAGTCGTACAGGGGAGACGAATCAACGAAAGGGCAAATTTTATTGTTCGTGACAGCAGCAGTGCAGACCGAGCAAAAACCGCAAAGCTCTCGAGGGTGAGTGGCTGGGACACCACTTTCCGCATGCCAACAAAACACGCGTTCATCATATTACGAAACGCCTCTAGACTGCTGCTCTGTCTGCTGTATGACAAACGATTTGCCGTACGCGCTCGTAAGGTGTGCTCTGAGCTGTGACCCACGGCTGTTCTGTGTTGCGGTTGCCGCTCTTGCCGTGTGCAACCAACTCGCTGGAACCAACTCGCTGTTTTTTTTTAACTCTCTCTGTGCACATTTGCGTATTTGAAGGTGGGAAACACTTTGTTGTTACTTCGGATTCACTTGATTGGATGTCATGAGGGCGCCCTCAGCTCGTTCTCTCTTGCGTAGTGTGCCTAGGTGGGAAACAATTCGCGGCACCCCGTGGTGGATTTACTGTATCGTTTGAACATGTGCATACCACACCTTTCAGAACACAACGCCGCTGTGTGACTATTACAAGTATTACATTTTACGCTTCCGAACGGACCGACCGGTGGCACGCGGCGTGGGAAGTAGGTACTCTGCACAACAGTATCACAATTCCCCATGAAGATTTTCCGACAATAATGTGACAACCTTGACCTTACAAGCGCAAGAGGTTCCTTCTCGCTTGGCTGTGACATGGTGTGGTGTTGTGAAACGCATACAATATGTAGATCACTGGACGGTATTGTACCGACACAAACAAGGCATGTGACTGCATCATTCAAGCTCCGCCGATGGACGGACTGAGCGAAATCGTCGGCCGGATGTTGCAAGAAACTGCTGGAGTTTTTTTTTTTTTGCGATTTTGCGAACGAGCTGTGCGTTGAGTCTCTCGAGAGAAGCGGCGGTGTGAGAGCCAAACCACAGGGCACTTTCATCACGTACCAGCACGCGCTCTCGCTGTGTGCCATTCCTTCTTTTTACGTGCGAGAGCGCCGGAAGTGCTTGTTGCTGCCCCAGAGTTGACTGTTCCTCTTGTGGGCGCGGCGATAGTTTGTTGGTTTTCAGGATTTTGTTGAGCAAGATGGATGGGCGTATGTTTTTGGCTGCATGGACGCAGCGGGCGTGAACGGCGGCGGCAGCAGCGGTGGAGTTGCCGGGTGCTCAGGGTGGCGAGTTTCGCCGGCGGCGTTCACTGCCGTGTATTATAGCCAAATAGCCGGTGCTCGTCTTGCACGAGACTCGTGTACCGCCCACCTCCCCCCCCTACCCCTCCCTCTCTCGTTAGCGCGCTTCGGCGCCATGGAGAACTGCTGTCGTGATGGCCAAGAATGTGACTCTCCGCGTATCCTCTTCCTTTGTCGCGTTGTTTTTATCGAGACAATGTTTTCCTGTATGTTTGTACCTTCCGCGCGGTCCCGCATGATGTTGTGCTTACAGGAAGGAGCTACGACCTTTTGTCCCACAGATAAATAGGTACTTTGCGATGTAGGCTATTCAGTATTTGGAGCGAGAAAGTTTTTTTTGCCACATCCTTTTATCTAGCCCTAGCCCTAGCCAACAAGTTAGCAGAACTGAATACATACGAGCAAACGCGTTCACGCAGGACACGAGCGATGTCATCCATCTGTTCCAATAATACATTGTAAACGTACAAAAGCTCCCCATCGGGAGTTAGGTGGCTTGCCTCCCGGCCGCGACGCGAGAGGGCACGGCCTATGTCATCGCGGTCGCATAGTTCGATCTCAACGTCAGGACGTTCGGTAGTGAGTGCCGGTTATGCGTACAACCTGCAAAATTTTCCTGGAAATTGCATGATGTGCGGGATACATTTTTTTTTTCTCGCTCTGATTTTTCGCGTGTGCGTGAGGTGTGTGCTTTCATGTAGGCTAGTGGCGTATTTGCTGCAGATGTTACTGCTGCAATCCGCTGCATTTGATCGCTCGCTCTCACGTACCGTATATGACACAAGATATCACACCCCCTTGACCAATATTCGAAGCTCGATTTCTCAACTGCAGGAACAGCCACAGCGCCGAAAACGGCGGCGTTGAAACCGTCTCGTCGAGAGCTTTTCGAAAATAGATCGTTTCGTTTATACATCCTCTTCTTCGTGGTGTAATCGAGCTTTGAAAAATCGGTCCAGGGGGTGTGTTATCTTGTGTCATATACGGTATTCGTGTTGCCCGTGGTCTGTCGGACTTGTTTGCGTTGCGCAGGGAACAGTAGTCTTCCTGGTCCTGTTTATGGAAAAACACCTTAAAACACGTTTTTTCGCATGTCTTGCGATGGCTTTCTTCGCGCGGAACACATCCCCGGTGTGTAGAGCCAGGCTTTTCGACTTTGGGCGTCAACCAGGTGGCTGGCGGTCCTATGCGTGCGCGGTAATGTACCAACGACACCTCTGCGTGCCCCTGAGACGGAAGTGTGAGAAAGGACTTGCTTCCACCAGCTCACGATGGATCGAAGCACGAAAAATGGCGAAATGGTACCTGTACATAAATACGTGTACAAAAACATCGACATGGACATCTGTCAATGCCAGGACTAAAAAAAACTCTTCACCTTCACCACTCATGGCTTTGAGGACACATGTTCCGCAGGCATGCTCATTTCGCTATTTAATGTAGTGAAGTGAAGAGAGTCAATCAATATACACGTGACTTTGATGTAAGATGCTGTTCCGACTCCACTCTTTCCTACGCCAGCTCACGCCCCCCCAAGGGCCCCTCCGTATTGAAGCAATGGAGCACCTCGACCACCCCCCGGACCAAGATTGGCACGCCGGATAGCCACATTGCGCGGCTCACTCGCAGCAGTCTACTGTACAGGATTCATTGTGTGCATAGTAAAACTAATACAATGTTCACTGAATCGGCTTTCGTGCCATTCTTGAACCCGTATTATACTCTTAGTTGTATTGGCTGTATGGTGGTACTTACATCCTATTGGCTTTAGTATCGCACCCAAAAAGCCATATAATACGTGGGTGTACAGGTTCATGTATGGCCATACGGTATCCTATAGGCTTTTTTTGTGTGTCGCATTCTAAAACCCGTATGGTCCGTCCGGGACAATTTGTCCACTCGCGTATCGTGTGATGACTTTCGAAATATGTCGAATTAAACAGAATTTCAGCCTCCATAGTAACTCCACATCAAAGCAAACAACAAAGGTTTAAACACAAATGGAAATTGCATCACACCTATTTCAAGTTGTTTTGCTGACAGAAATGTTGAAGACTGGAGAAAAATCTCAGGTTTACACACGACGTGGAATTTCTCGCGGATTTTAGTTTTTTGGAAACATCGGAAAAATGCGCCATCTGTGGAATTTCGAGAAGAATCGTTTGCCGCACTCTATTCTAAAATCGTGAAGTTGGTTCTCGCAGGAGATCTTGAACAAAGTGCCCCTCCGGATCCAGTTACAGTAGCGATTTAAGGAGGAATTTTTAAGATAAGGTACGGGTTTAAGAGAGGAAAATTGCTTGGCACGACCAAAATCGATCAAAGCGAAATTTGGCATATTTCTGAGATTTTCTCTTACATCGAGCTGCTGGAGGCCACGTCACGTAGCCATCACACACCACAGCTCTCAACACAGACACAGCTGCAGACACCATGCCCTGCGCAGCGGGCGACCGCTGCACTATGCCCGACGACACGTCGGGCCCGCCTCATTTCACAATACACAAATGCAGAGGCGTCTGCGGGCAGTACCTCCATGGTATCTGTGGTGTGGTGGACCCGCTTGGCACCACTGAGGTGCACCGCATCTGCTACACCTGTGCGGCCTCCCGCGAGCGCGAGACTTCAGGCGCGGGGACTGCTNTCGGGCCCGCCTCATTTCACAATACACAAATGCAGAGGCGTCTGCGGGCAGTACCTCCATGGTATCTGTGGTGTGGTGGACCCGCTTGGCACCACTGAGGTGCACCGCATCTGCTACACCTGTGCGGCCTCCCGCGAGCGCGAGACTTCAGGCGCGGGGACTGCTGGGGCGCAGCCAGAGAAGAGCGGCTCTTCGGGGGCCAAAGACGTCGATCTGGTGGAGCAAGGCGAAGCGGAACAGCAGTCGTTAGCGGCAGCGGCCTCGCCTCCGCCGCCGTACGCTAACGTAGCACAACACTTTGTGAACTCGAGGACATTGCCGAGAAGTGCGACATGCCAGAAGCATCTTACCACCTCCGCGAGGCTAAGCGAGCTTGGATGAGTGCCCACGGGGCGGGGGCAACCAAGCAGACGTGTATCCAAGACTACCTTCAACGGTTGCAGCAGACGTAGTGTAGTGCTGAGGCTGACAGGCTTCGAGGGGTGCTTTGATTTTCCGTGCCAAAATTGTTTTGTANAACAGCAGTCGTTAGCGGCAGCGGCCTCGCCTCCGCCGCCGTACGCTAACGTAGCACAACACCTTGTGAACTCGAGGACATTGCCGAGAAGTGCGACATGCCAGAAGCATCTTACCACCTCCGCGAGGCTAAGCGAGCTTGGATGAGTGCCCACGGGGCGGGGGCAACCAAGCAGACGTGTATCCAAGACTACCTTCAACGGTTGCAGCAGACGTAGTGTAGTGCTGAGGCTGACAGGCTTCGAGGGGTGCTTTGATTTTCCGTGCCAAAATTGTTTTGTAGCGCGTGCGATATTTTCGTACAGTACTAGTCTACTATCTGTACGTGATGTAAAGCGTGTTTCGTTCCATGGCTCGTTTTTGGCACTAAGGCTGTGGGTGGTGTGCCTTCATGCGTGAAGGGGATGGGTGGGGTACGAGTGGTTCGTTCTGTATGTGCGTCGGTAGATTTTTCCTTGGATGCTGCGGCATCCATGGGCTCGCGTTGTACTTCGAGTTGAGATGCGAGTACAGTGTGCAGCACAACACAACAAGCAACAAACACTTCTATATTGTTTTTCCGCGCGCACTAAGCGTGCCACACGACAACGTGATACTTATTAATAGTCCAATCTCCCAGCACAGGTAGGTGCCAAGAGCGTACCGTGACTTGGGTCCATATCGCTCGCCGACCAACAGACAAGGCTGTGTATGGAGCTAGCGTAAGGTGCTGACGCTAGCTGGGTCATGTGACATACGTAAATGATAGACTCTCCATGAGCTCTGACGGCACATACTGCTGGAGTGGGCGTCAGGGTGTCAGTGTTCCACGACCTTTCGAGTTGGCTACGGTATAAGGTAATATTCTCTTAAAGTGAGATATGGTTTAAAGGAATACTCTCTTAAAGCGTAGCCAAAACGGTTTAACAGAAATACTGATTGAAGAGAGCAAAATTGGCTTGTACCAACCCTCTCTTTCTTAAACCGTAGCCACTACTGTATCGGGGCATTCTCGTGAAGTTTAGTTTTTAGGAAAATCGGAAAAATGCGCCATCTGCGAAATTTCGAGAGGAATCGTTTGCCGCACTCTATTCTAAAATCGTCAAGTTGGTTCTCGCAGGGATCTTGAACAAAAATTTCCGGTTGTTTGGTGATAGAAGGCGAAGAGCAAACCAACCAAAAAAGTCGATGAACAGATTTGTGCGCCTGGAGACGAGGCGTCATGTATTGAACAACCTCCCCTACCCCGAGGAAAGTATACCTAAGTGCACGGCGGCAAAGTGGATCGGAAGCCCCAGACGGACCACAAGACACCGGGGTTGTCGGAATGACGTCCACACTACATCCCAAAAAACAAGTCGTACTTAGATTGTAATATGTCACCCTAAGTTTCATACAAGGAAGCATGTAAATTCAAGTATTCCACACTATATATATCCTATACACAGACCCCGCCCCCCCCCGCCCCACTTACTCTCGCCTGCCATGGTACTCCGCCTCAGGTTTCGTTTTCTTCGCGCAAAAGCAGCCTATTCCGCGTGACAGCGGCAGCAGCAGCAGCAGCAGCAGCAGCAGCAGCCAGCGCGTGCACACACCGAATACAAGGAAAAAAGGGCGGATCAAGGAACCACAACTTTCGGTGCGGAAGGAAGCCTGCAGAGAAGGATCAAGGACCTAACAAAAGCCCTAAGAAAAGCACCAAATTCGCGAAACGTGGAGACAAGGGGGAGGAGGGAGAGAGAGAGAGGTGACGCAGAAGAGAAAAGTGTAGGCGGGTGGCCTCCTGAACCACCATGTCGGACGGGAGGCCTCAAGGCGCGCCGCTGCCGATGACTCCGGGCAGCAGCAGCAGCAGCAGCAGCAGCAGCAGCAGCAGCAGCAGCGGCATCATCAACGGCAGGAAAGGGGAGGGCGGGTCCCCGCGGCCGGGAACAACAGCACCAAAAGACGTACGTCCGCAACGCCCCGGCGGGCCCCCCAGGCGTGACGACGACCGCCCTTCGAGAGACGTCGACGACGCCAATGATGGAGGAAGGGCCCCGGGCGATGACGAGGAGGAGGAGGAGGAGGAGGATGAGGAGGAGGAGGAGGAGGAGGAGGAAGAGGAGGGGCTGCCACCGGTGCCGCGGCCGCCGCCGCCAAGAAAATGGAACCTCTCGGGCAACGGCGACGCGCACCAGCCGACGGCGACCGTCAGGGGCAGCGGGGCAGGGGCGGCGGGTGCTCCTATGCGTGCACCAAAACCAGGGGCAGAGTTGAGGGTTTTTAGAATGGGCGGTGGCGGCGGCGGCGGTGGCGGCGGCGGCGGTGGCGGCGGTAACGGTGGTGGCGGGGGTCGCGGCGGCGGCGGAAACGGCGGGACCACGCCGACGCTCTCGGGGCCTGGAAGAGCTGCCGCCGCCGCTACATCTGGGGCCGCGCGGCCTATCGGCTTGTTTCAGGACCGGGGAGGCGGCGGCGGCGGCGGCGGGAAGCGGTCGTGGTCGCCGCCGTCGCCGCCGCCGCCGCCGCGCGGTACGGACGGCAACAGCAGCAGCGGCGGCGCGCGCGGCGGGGCTGCTTCGACTCCTACCGCGGCTGCTGCTGCTCCCGCAGCTTCTGCCGGGAAACCGAAGGCGGCCAACATTATCAGATTCAGAATCCCCCCGCCCGCGCCCCATGCTGGACAGCAGGCGCGGGCGGCGGCGGCGGCGGGACGCCCGTCGGAGGCGCGCCGTTTGTCGAACGGAGAGGAGAACGGCCCGGGGCCTGCTCGAAGCGGCAGTTCCGGCAGCGGCGGCGGCGGCGGCGGCGGCGGCAGCCAACAAGCCTCCGGCCGCAGCGAGAGAACGAGCTCTGCCGCCTCCGCTGCCTCCGCCAACACCGCTCCGCAAAGCGGTGGCGATAGCGACGAAGCTGGCGCCGGCAGCCGTGCGGCCGAGGATCATCGAAGAGACGACGAGGCTTTCGGGGAGGCGGCGTCCGTACTGCCCGGCAGGGTGGGGAGGAAGAAGAATCTCGTGCCGACGCGGGCAGGCGGACGTACCCGGACACCGTGAGTACTTGTTAACGTCCGGATGTTTGATCTTCTTGATCAAGCAAGTCACGCGCGGCAGCTACAGGGGATGGGCGCCAGTCACGCCTTTTGAGTTTGTGTCTGCATTCTCCGCATCGTCGCGCAGTGATGATATAAGAGGATGCGAACTACACGGAGCGTTGTATGAGTATCGATCGGCATATGCTCATCATCAGGAGCCAAGTTCTTTAAGGCGTCCACCGTCCCTACCTCCGCAGCAGCCTCTCTTGTGTCACGTCGTCGTTGGCCCTCGATCGACGTGGTTGTGGAGTGGCAGCAGGGGGCTGACTGGCCGATTGCCCCCCCCCCCAAAACGTCTGCGGCCCCGGCTTGGTTTTCGAGGGGAAAACATGACGAAAAGGGACGAAAACCTCTACTAATCGTGTGTTCGGCAGGGCACACCACCCAGCAGTACCCCGAGCTACTTTTCGGTTTTGTTTTGCTTCGTTGTTTAAGCACAGCCCGGGGGTCCTAGACGCCGGCATCGGCTCGTTGCGCGACCCCCTCCCCAACGGAGTGGGTTGAGAAGGCGGGAAGTGAAGTCGATAGGATAGGTAGGAAACATTTTTCAGCCACCTTTGGCAAAGTAGGAAGGAACGACTGGCTATCGGTGATCGGTGCTGTGGGAACAACACTACGTCCTAACGAGGACGCGTGGTCAATGGTCTGACCGCTAAGGCATGCAAAACATAAGAGTACGCCCCCCCCCCCCCCCCCCCCCCCCCCCCCCCCNGTTTTCGACGACGACACAGGAGCGCTAAGTACCAAGAGTTCAAAGAAGTTCAGCTGGTTAAGACGACCAACAAGCACAAGGGAGGGGGGGTAGCCGGCGGCGGCGGCAGCGACAACATGGACGTCGTCGACTACTACGAGGAGTACGGCAGCGAGGATTCCCTCCGCCCCCCCGCCCCCCAGCAGCACGACAGCTCGCGGCAGCCCAGGACCGGCAACGGGACGTTCGCCGCCTCCTCCTCCTCCTCCGCCCCCGGCACAGGCCCCTCGCCGAGAGGGGGCTCGCTCAAGGGCAGCGGCGGCGGCGGCGGCTTTTGCGGTGCCGCCGGCGGCGGCGGCGCTACTGCCGAACGAGCTGTTACGGTGGTGGCGAAGATGCCGGTACCCTGGGGAGGGCGAGGAGGAGGAGGGCGGGGAGGAGAAGGAGGAGGAGGAGGAGGAGGAGGAGGGAGGGGAGGAGGAGGGGGAAGAGGAGGAAGAGGAGGAGGAGGAGGAGGGCGAGGTATCCCAAGCCTGCCCCAGCAGCAGCAGCGAGAGCAGGAGCGGCCCCGGTCCGTCGTGGGGCCGACCACCGCCGGGCGCGGGGGGGGGGCACCGGGCGGCGGCGGCGCCAGCGGCAGCAGCAGACCCCCCGGCAGCAAGCCGCTCGGCAGGCCCCCCGGCAGCGGCAAGAGGCCCCCCGGGAGGCCTCCGGGGAGCACCAACAAGCCCAGACCTCCTGGGAGCAAGCCCCTCGGGCGGCCACCGGGGAGCGGGAAGCTGCAGGGCAGCCGGCCGCCGGGGAGGCCGCCTGGCGGCGGCAAGGCGGCGACGGCCGGGAGGCCGCCCGGGAGGCCGCCCGGGAGGCCGCCCGGGAGCAAGCCTTTGGGCAGGCCCCCCGGCAGGAAGAACAGCAGCGCGACGACTTCCAGCAGCAGCGCTGTTGTCGCCAGCAGTGGCGTTGGTGGTGGTGACAGGTACGGTGGTGGCGGGGGGGGGGGACTCG